GATAAACGTCAATGTACTTATCCTATATCATCATTTGTTTCTTATGATCATTGTCTTCTTCTTTTGGTTCGTTTGTCGCATCCATGGATTCTATTTCAATTCCTAAAACAGTTCATGAAGCCTTGTCTCATCTTGGTTGGCGTGCTACTATGACAAAGGAGATGGTGGCCTTAGATGGTAATGGTACTAGGGATTTGGTAGTTTGCCTGCCGGGAAGAAAGCTATGGGCTGCAAATGGGTATTTGCTATAAAGGTAAATCCTGATGGATCAATGGCTTGCCTTAAAGCCTATCTTGTTGCTAAAAGGTATGCCCAAACTTATGGTGTTGATTACTCTAATACTTTCTCTCCAGTAGCTAAATTCGCCTCTATTCATTTATTCATCTCTATGGCAGCTACCTACGACTAGCCTTTACATCAATTAGATATCAAAAATGCTTTCTACATGGTGACCTCCAGGAGGAAGTGTATATAGAGCAACCACCTGGGTTTGTTGCTCAAGGGGAGTATGGGAAAGTCTGCCACCTTCGAAAATCTTTGTGTGGCTTGAAACAAAGCCCTCATGCTTGGTTTGGTAGATTCAGTAAGGCAATTCATGAGTTTAGGATGAAGAAAAGTGTGATCACTCAGTGTTTTATAAACAGTCTGAAGTTAGCATAATCTTACTAGTAGTGTATGTTGATGATATTGTCATTACTAAGAGTGACAATACAAGTATTTCATCTCTCAAATCCTTTCTTTATACCTAGTTTTAAACAAAAGATTTAGGGTTGTTGAAGCACGTCTTGGGTGTGGAGGTGACAAGGAGTAAGAAAGGCGTATTCTTGTTGCTAAGAAAATATGTTCTTGACTTGTTGATGGAGATGGAAAAATTGGGTGTTAAGCCGTGTAGTGCACCAATGACTCCTAATTTGCAACTTACAAAAAAAGATGGTGATTTGTTTGAAGAACCTGAAAAGCATAAAAGGCTGGTTGGAAAATTGAATTATCTTACAGTGACTCGTCTTGATATTGCATACTCTGTTGGTGTTGTAAGTCAATTTATGTCTGCTCCCAACAATTAACAATTAGCAACTTTGGAACAAATCTTATATTATTTGAAAGTGGCTTTAGGATGAGGTCCATTCTATGGACATCACGAGCACACTATTATTGAATGTTTTTCAGATGCAGATTGGGAAGGTTCCAAGATTGATAGGAGATCCACTACGACATATTGTGTTTTTATTAGAAGGAATCTAGTCTCATGGAAACGTAAAAAGTAGATTGTAGTATCTGGATCTACGCAAAATTAGAATATAGAGCTATAGCACAAACTGTGTGATGTAGAATGGATCAATCAGCTATTAAGTTAAGTTGGTGTTAAGTTTTCTTTGCCTACAAAGCTGTGGTATGATAATCAAGCTGTTCTCCATATTGCCTCCAATCCGGTGTTTTATGAACGAACTAAGCATATTGAAATTGGTTGTCATTTTGTTAGCAAAAAGATTCAACAGAAGTTCAGCTCTACAAGATATGTTAAAACTGAAGACCAACTGGAAGATATCTTCACAAAAGCGTTGAATGGAGCTCGAGTTGATTATCTTCGTAACAAGCTGGGCATGATTAACATCTATGCTCCAACTTGAGAGGGAGTATTATAGAATAGGAAATCTATAAATATTCATTAATTAATTAACGTAATTATAAGAATTAGGAATCACCATAATTATAGGGATTTTATTTTCTTTATTCTTTTTCCTATTTTAGAGATGTTTAGGCTATATATATAGATGCTGTATTATAAATGAAAAATGCTAAGTTTTCTCTTCCAAAATAACATATATGAATTTAATAACATTTTTCTTTGATTATTTAAGTTGTTAAACAATGTGGATCATAATGATTTTCACACATTTAAATATTGGCTAATCTTCCTAGATATTTGTCCCACAAAAATGGTCAAAAAAGTGCTATGAATGATAATGAGCAAGGATTTGAAAAGAGAGAAGTGTAGTGGATAGCAGTGGAGCAATCAAGTCCATGATTTTTCCTCTTATTTGATTGGTATATTGAAGAAAGATACTAAACCTGATATATATTATTATGGCTTATGTAGGTTTAAGGTTATTTTAGTCTTTTTAATATTCTCTATTCTATGTGGAGATTGACTTTCATCAAATATAAGAAAAGAGAAGTTTACATGGTATCAGAGCCTAGCTATCCAAAACTCTATAAAAAAAACCTAAAAGCCTAAAAAAAAAAAGGTATTCGTCAGATAGTTGTAACTATGTGGATTGGGTTCTACTGAGATTGGTAGACCCCATTAGTTGAATATGAGTTGTGTTGAAAGGTCAGTGAGATGGCATCAAAAGATAGTAAGAGTGCAAAGGTTGTGTCCCCACATCACAAAATATTTGATCTTATGCTAGCTAGAGATGGTTCTAGTTTTGTAGAATGGAAGTTTTTAGTAAAGGTTAATGTGAGAAGACTTGTGAACGAAGCACATCTTACTGAATCCTGTCCAGATAAAGAAGATGCCGCCGAGGTATGGATGACAACTGATGGAAGATTGTTTTCTCAGATTGTTAATTGAATTGATAGAAAAATGGTTCTTGCAATGCAATATACTACAACAGTTCAAAAAGTTATGGGAGTTATTGCATGAGTGCTTTTCGGGTACAAAGAATATAAAGAGATTGTGCGTTTTATCACAGAAGGTTAGTCGTCCAAGTCAAAATAGGCAGACAATTATGGATTACTACTATAATTATAAACGTGCTACTTAAGATTTCAACACTGCCATGCCACTTTCTACTGATATGGCTAAGATGAAAGACCAACGTGAGAGACTATTGGTCTTTGGTTGGCAATCTAGTTTAGATTCAGAGTATGACATGATTCTTTCTCAGCTCTTAGCTAACAAGGATGTTTCTTCATTATTTGATGTGGTCACCACTGTAATGAGTGCGACCAGGGAAAGTGTTCTTACTTCTAGTGATGTGTCTAATTGATCTACCTTAGTCTCACATGGTACTAGCAGGTTCAGTAGTGGATATAGAGGAGGATCAGGTGGAGGAAGAGGCAATTTTAGAGGTTGTGGTGGAAAAGGATCAAGTGGTTGTGGAGGTCCAAGAGTGTGTTATAACTATCGAGAGCAACGCCACCTTAGGAATCAATGCTCTTAACCCTTAGAGGGACAACAAAATTATCATTATCAGTCTCTTTCACAGGGGCAACAACAACAGCAGCAGCAGTATCTAGTCCCCTTTAAACTTGCTCATGCAACATCACAAGTTGCTAACTCCACTACACCCTACACCAGAGGCCATACAATAGATTATGTTTGATGAAGATTTTTTTAGATATACTCAATTCTAGAAGTCTTAACAGCCTTCATCAATTTACTTATGAAGCTCCCTCATTACTTATCAATTTACTCCAACCAATAAGGGATATTGGAACCAAAATAAAAGGTCTCTCCCAAGAAATGGATGGGTGGGCAGCCTTTATAGAACTTCCCATCTCATGCTCCATCATTCTCAAGCAATGTGGAATTTGACACAAAATCCTCTCCTTCACTTTCTTTTTCCTGGTTTTATAAGTTCTTTTCTTGAAATATTTTCTTTGCATAGGCTCCCCCTTCAATGGGCTTTAAAGCACAATACTTTTAGTATAACCCATAAAATGTAATTGAAGATTAGTTATAAAAAACTCTATAACATATAGTTGCATGATCAACAAGTATAAATGATAAAACAAATAAAATTCAAAATTAAAGTATAATTCATTATTTGATACTTTTAGGGTTTAGGGTTTAGTCAAGTAAATAGATATTACTTTATTACGTGTAAGCGTGTAAAGATTGTACATTAATTATTAACAATAATCATTATTTGATGGAAAAAAAATTTTATTTTCATTGATTTTATTAACTTCGTAAATATTGAGTACATCATAAAATTACATAATATACCAACTTCAATCTAATGTCCATGTACGGTCATTTTCTCCTCACACACTAATACCGCTATTTTACCAAACATTATCTGACCAATATAGTTGGCAATCCCATTACCACCACTGTGTTCGATTTCACCAAAGCTGGTCTCACCATCATCCTAAACGAGGCCTTAGCTGGCTTGTTTATTGGATTTAAAATATTCTTCTTTTAGAAAGAGGGTAAATAAGGATGGTTAATGTAGAATTCGGGGAATATGAGAGTTATTTTGGGGCTTTCATCACTCATTGAGGGCTGGCTATCGCAATGATTGGGGGGGTGTGGTAATGGTGGGAAGGACTCCATCGCACCACATGATAAAAGCCAAACAGCTGAACCACGATGCTAGTGGTCCCCACTCTGCCTCACTGGCACTAATTGCACTAACAAGTGAGGCCTTAGTTTGTTCTTGTTGTCTATACCATACAACAACATATATGTTAATTCCTAGGGAACAAGCACCACTAGCCTAAGAACCTTTTGGACTTAAAACATGTGTTGCCGGTGCAAGTGGCTTGAACCCTTATCTAGACACAGTGCATCTCCGTACTCTATCTAGGATAGGGCCTCATACTCTTCCCCGCTCAAATCCCACCAATATCCTCATTAAGGCAAGGAATCATCACAATCATTATTACACTCCACAAAAACTAAAATCAACCAAAACACTATGGGAGTCCCCACATCATGCTCAAACATTCCCTAATTCCAATTCATAGTTACTAACAACTTACATGCCTAAACCATGTGGCGACAAAAAACTTAAGGTCAGGTTACAAGCAATCAATGGCTTGAAAGGTTATCAAAAAACTTAAGGTGCCAATAATCTCATTGATACTCCATTCGCAATAGAGTATCACCACAAAAACCCATGACCTATAGAAACTGAACAATGATAAGCAAATCAAACGAAAAAGCAAATTTGATGAAAAATTTGAACTATAACTGAATTCCAGACTTTAAAAGTATGTGCTTGGCTAGTCTGAGTCAAATTATTATAAAACAAAAAGCACATCCATACCTGCTGCCAGTACTTTACCATCTCACATGCAAGCCTTCGCTTCACAGCAAGAGTAGCCTTGGTACTATCAATTGCCATTCCAAGCTGGATATCAACACCCTACACCAAACAAAAGTAACCTTAAACCATGAGAAGATAAAAAATGCCTAGGCAATGTTCCAATTTGTTCAGACATACACACAGAAATGAAAGAAAAGTGAACATGACTTACTCCCTCTACTTATGTATTCTTTAACAAAATGAAACACTATCACTCCATCACATCACAGCACATGAAATTTTTTAATGCATCAATAGTATGAAAGAAACACAATAATTATTCCATGACATACATAGAGATGAGAGGTTTAAGAATGAAGAACAATATCATGCAAAAACAATTAAAACCTTCCAGACATTTAGATGCCCAAAAATCTCATACCACAATAGGAAACTCTAAGGCCAATCAAAGATGGTTTCATGAGCATAATAGGAAGGCATTCTAATTTTGCTAGTTTTATGCTGCTCATTACAATTTGTCTATTAGACTCAGACTTGTCAGAAATATGTGAGCTTCTGATTTAGACACAAACTGCTCAGACGATATGTTAAGCCTCGTTATCTTGTTATGTTGATAGGTGCTTATGAAAATATTCTTTACCTCTTCATGATAAACGTTGTTTTGGAAGCTTTTCAGTGATTGCAAAGATTAATGTGTCCGTACCTATACTGAATCATGGAGCTGCAATTCAAGCAGCTTTGGGGCTAGCAATGCACAAGAATCCGGGGTTTAATGCTAGGCAGTTGCAAGGACTCTCATTTAATTAAGTATACAAGATATCATGGCTCAAGGCTTCAATGGCCTTTTAGCAAACAAGTCACGTTTCCACGAGAATAGTACTTGTATCCTCACTTAACAAGATAAAGTCATTCACAACAATAACAAACAACAAAGTAAGCCTTTTCTCACTACGTATGGATCATAGTGAACCACTATACTTGTACAAAATGATATTCTCAAAAAGCTCAGCCATAGCAAGATCATTTTCATAGTTTCTATCCATGCCCTCTTTGGTCTTCATCTCCATCTCTTGAAACAAGCATGCTCTGGTAAACCACGTCTTCTCAAGAAGCATTTGTATCTCTCCCCTTAACTTATCCACTAACTTGTACTTTATTTTATCCGGTATGGCCACCCATCTAGAGTAGCATTCCCATCTCAGTCAAACTCCTTTTTCTTACTTATTTCAAGACTTTGCTGCCCAACATTCAATCCCATATACAACTTTTCTGGTATTATCACAGTCCTAAAACTTTTTTCCTTAAGATTTTGTTGAGCATTGCTATCACAATGAGACTCCAAATGCACTTCTCCAATATGCTTTTCATCATTTTAAAGATACCTTTTTCTTCACAATCATGCAAATATCAAATAACAACTTCCTATTTGTTCTCGTCACAGTCAAATCAAGAAAACAGATTAATAGAATTCATTTGGCACATAGACTGATTGTTCATCATATCAAGTGAGCCTTTTAACACACAATTCTATAACATATAACATTGTTATGGATGCTGATATAAATCCTCAATTTCATTCTTAAATAAGAAAGCTTTGGAGCTTAACATGATATCGACAACTGAGTGTCCAATGTTTTGGTGAGAATATATCCCATGTTATTCATGTTCAGTGACTGTAAAGAAGCTGCAATAAACATCATCCTCTCATATCTTGGTCCACCAGAATTATAGTGTTTTACATAACCCACATTACTCAAGGTAAAAAAAAATGAAGAAAATAAAAGAAAGAAACCCACATTTAAGGCCTTGATGCATGGATGCAGCATAGAGGATACAAGCATAGTAAGTTATGCACATAGCTACACTAATTCTTGAAAAGTAGGATATAGCCCAACATTTTGTTTTGTTTTGTTTTCTTTCCCTTTTTCTTTTTGTGTGTCTGTTTCTTGTGTGTGTTCATGCTAATCTCAATCCTATTAGATTTTTATTGTAAAAGTAAAAAGTCGTTATAGAAAAAATGCATGAATATTCCTTCTCAAAATAAGTTTAAACCTGTAGCTATTCTCTCTCTATTCTCTTATTTATAAACTCAGTCTAAAACTATGTTTAAAATGGTTTTCATGATCTATCACAAAAAAAAGGGGGGGTTTTATGAGGATTAACATGTATTTGAAACATAATCTAAAAGTATTTAGCATTGGAAGGACCTGAAAAGTTGAAATTTTATTTTAAAACTGGATATGCAAATTATCAGATATGCGTTTGGAAGCAGTAGATGACTAGATGTCTATTATATCGAACAAGGATATAATGCAGGATACAGCTGCCATCTAACATGCTACTCTATTTATGCTTCTAAATATTATTAGCAGTATCTTTAGCATGTAAAGCAATTCACAAAACCAAACAGCTGTCATCAAATGGAAAAAGAATATCAGATCATGTACAGCAAGCCAGCAACACTAACTAGTTTAGCAAAGTAGTATAGTCCTAGACCACAAATCCAGTATCATTCAGTCGTGTCACTCCAAAATTTACAGGAACAGAAGAAAATGATAGTTTTGGTTACTGTTCCCCAAAATGGATTCATAGTCATTTAAAGAACAAATCCACCTAATGATATACCGGACAGTCCACATTTCTAAACTTGATGCACAAGTTCATTGCTATATCGCTCCAGAGATGAGTTAGTACCTGCCCTAATGCTTGCAAACAAAGTGCTCGAAGAACTCCTTCTGCTAGGTCTACTGGTAAATTTCTCCTACAATCAGATTAGAGATCAATAGATTACTAATAAATTTGGAAAGCCAAAAAGTGATTGTGACAACATCAAAGAAAGTTGACTGCAAGTATTTCGCCTTTATACACCTGAGTTCAGATGGCAACTGAGGGAGAACATGTCTGACAGCACAATCCAAGTATCCAGCTGCCTTCAAGAAAATATCAATAGAAGCTCGCCTGCTTTCTGTTAATCGAGAAAAAATGGCAGTCATTAGGCCTGTAAGAATAATGGCTAAAGCAAAGGTAAGAATGAAAATCTACACTGAAAAGAAAGGATTAACATATTTGCCAGTAATCAGTCTTTTTAAACTTTTAAAACAACGGGGGAAAAAGAGAAGGAAAGAAACAATCAGGATAGGGATTTTTTTTTCTTCATAAATACCTACCTTCTGATACTTTTGGTTGATAACCATCAGCAGAAGTCCTTGGAAGAAGCAATAAGTTGGCTTGTGATAATGATAACATCGCCATCAAATGCAATACTGACAACACCTCATACCAAGCATTAAACATGGCTGTTTCCTGCCAAAAATTGATTCACATTAAATCTGTATTCCTCAAAGAGTTGAGGACCAAATCTAACACCAAAAGCAAATAAAAGGCATGTTCATAAATAATAGTCTAAACCCACAATCAGACCTCAGCATCATCCTCCTGATTTACCCAAATAAACTGAACTTTGAATTGTAGCTGGCTTCCTGAATGATAACAACAGACCATAGTGTTAGACTTCATCTTATACAGTACACTATACATTTTCGAGGAGCATCACATTTAATAACATTTTCACCATCTTTAACTAATCCCAAAAGCACAGGCAAGTAGTCCTCAAGAGCCTGATGAAGATCTGCCAACGTTGAACCCCCTGTAGACAGTATTTTCAACCAAAATATCAGGAAAAATGCTTACAAAAATCTGTTTAAAAGCAGACCAGGTTTGGCTGCAACAAACCATGCTGTGTTTTCCTCCTTGTTCTTGTAATTGTAGGGCCTTCTTGGCCAGCCATAACAACTATACGAGTTCTCAAGGCGGTAAGGCGTTCCACTAATGTTTTTGACAAGTGACTGCCGAGTGATTGAAAAAAGTCAACAGGCTTGGGAATTCGTAAACCCGGTACATACACAGAAATTTCACCAATGTTTCCTGGCCTCCTCCTATTTCCACCAGAATCCTTTGGCGTTGACACTAGACACCCCATATCTAGAGAGTTACAATAACTGGCAATCCAGGAAAAATGAAGTCAAATTCCCCAATGAAATCGACTTATTTCTAGCATGAAAGGCAGGAATTCTAAAGAGTGTAGCCAACATAATCTCATAGATCATAAAAGTAAACGGTGAAGTAGAAGGAACGTAGACATGTGTTGCAAAAGAAGCAGATGAGTGTATGCAATGTGCAAGCCATAGAGGAAAAAACTAAAATAACTGTCCAACCAATAAAGCAGAACTAGTAGGTAACTCACGAGCACCATTAAAGGACTCTTAACTACAACTCCCCAAAAGATTTCTGAATTTTGTTAATACAAAAAACAAATTATGGATTTACCAACCTTGTTGTCTCCTATCAGAAGAAGGTGAAGTGAGCGGTCAAAACTCTAGTAGCCTCTGCATCCCACAAAACTTAACCATTAAAAATTAAAATAATAGTAATAAGAAAGGAGGGGGATAAGTAATAGAGAAAATAAACAAATTGATAAAAGCAAGTGAACCACAAGAAAGGCGTGAAACTTTGCAAATTTTCACCACCTTTTTATGTTGCAATCAGAAAAGGTACTTAAAATCGCAGATGGCCTAACACGATTTTAGGTGCTTTATCGTTTTTCATGCAAAATTCAAAAGAATAATGTGAAAGAGAAGAAGTACGAATTCAATTCACCAGAAGCCTTAATAAGAAACCATTCAATTTTATTGAATTTAGTGAAGATTGCGAGTCAAGAAAGCGTCTGCCAGATTTTGACTCTAAGCGAAAAGCCTTTATGTGAGTTTTACAAATAAACCCAGTGGAAAGTTGAGCTGCAATTACAGCATAATTTACAGTGCAAAAAGAGGAAGAGCGACTCGTAAGCCATAGCATAGTGAAAAGTTGAGCTGAAACCACAAAATCAATCAGAGAATTCCGAGTTTATGCTTCTGCTCGGAACTGAAACCATCGAACGCAGATTTTTTATCAAAGCCGTGGAAAACCAGAAATAGAAAGCTTCTCACCATGGGTCTGAGCAAAGAGAAACTCCACAGTCCAAACCCTAGCAGGCAAGGGCAAGGCCAATGCTAGCGATTGAAAGAAAAGGTCAGGTCACAGAGTTTGAAATTGTTCTGATGGGTAGACAGATGAGGAAGGGTGTTTAGAATTGAGAAACTGCAAGGTTCACAGTTCCATTTCAGCAAAATCTAATACCCTTGGCCTCTGTTTCACAAACAAACATAACTTCATTTTTACGCTGAACTGAACTCCTCCTCGTGTAAAAATGTACTTCAAGTTTACACATTGACTTTTGACCTCTTGTTTTATGTATAATTAATTCATTATCATACTACCAAACAGAGTCCGCTTTTTATCCGTGACCACCGCTGATTGCAGTTGCCATATAAAACTAAAATAATTTATCTTTCTTAGATATAAAAAAATCAAAATTAATTTTTTAACACTTACATTAATAATAATATTAATTATTAAAAATATATTTAATTTAAAATAAAATATAATGACTTAATTAAATGTGATAAAAGGATTAAGGTTATTTGAATTTTTTAAAATAATTTAAAGAATTTTTTAAAATATTATGTTTTATTTTATCTAATTAAGTGAATATTTCTATATCACAATTTTATTTCTTTTTTTTCAATAAAAATGTTTTTATATTTTTTTTTTCATTTCACAATTGTATTTTTTTTCTTTTTTTTCCCCTTAATGGCAACCAAAAGCTCTTGGAAAGTTTAATTGTTTGACAAATGGCAATAAAATAAGCTCTCAAATATCAATCAATTAAATCTTTTAAGGACTTACTTTGATCTATAATGTGAATTCCAAAACAAATATCCCACTTCACAGTGAGAGATAAATTTTTAAATTTATATATAAAATATATTCATTAATTCCATTAAAATTATAAACATTTTCAAAGAAAGTATCCATAAATATTATTAAAAATAAAAAAAAAGAAAGATGAGAAAAATATCAAATCACTAAAAAGTCCAAATATATTTTATTTAATTGTAAAACCAAAAAACAAAAAGCTGATCACTATGTCAACCATTGATAATATTTCTTTAATTGTTATAAATGATAGCTTTTTTTTTAGAAACTTAGGAAAAAAAATGCAATTATTCTTAAAAGTTGAAAACAATTTTTCTTTTTCATTAAACACGTGGATGGATTAGACTGGTAGAGGCTCGACATTACCCTTCGACCGCCCCAAAAGTCCCTCAAATGTCGTGCCCACCCTCTCTTTCTTTGACCCAAAAGGTTGAGGACGTTGATGGAGTGCCACGTGACACTTAAAGGAGTCTCCCCACTTTTATTGTCATATATTATAACATGCTACACTACTTGAGCTTGTCAATCCCATTTTTATTTGTTATAGATTTTAATTATTTTTTGTAATATTTAGATAATAAAGGACAGGAAAAGGATGGAGCAAAAATAAAAGAAAACAAAGTAAAAAGGAAAAAAATTATTTGTTCCGTTTTTTCTCATGTCCTTTAATCAAATTACATCATAATATTTATTTTGAGCATTTTCTTAATTATTTCTTTTACCATTCTTTCTTCATTTTCTCCTAAGTTTCCCTTTTTTTTTCCATTTGTTCTCACACTAAATACGCAAAAAATAAAATAAAAAAGCTCAATTGATTTTTGAAAATCTGCCACCTGGCACTCCCAAACTCAATTTTAATATACTGTAGACCTTTTCAAAAGAGACAAATATAAAATTTTATATGTTTCCCATTTTCTTTTCTTTGCAACAAGAAAAAAAAATAAGATAAACAAAAAAAGAAAATAAGAAACAAAAGAAAATAGAAGAACAAAAAATTAAATAAAATAACAATTGAGTTGCGAGCATGCCACGTGTAGCCCTCGCACCCAACTTGATAGTTTGTTACTTGGTTATATGATTAGCTTTTACACATTATTGATGAATTATGCTTTTTGTATTTTTTTATTTTAATTTTTAATTGAAGATATTTTTTAAAATATTTATTATTTAAAGGAATGTATATAATATCAATGGTTGAATTCGGTGTCATCAATTGACAAAATTACCAAAAATGTAAAATAAATTTCATAATAAATATATAAAATGAATAAAATTTTAGTATTCTAAAAATGAGGATTTGAATTTTAATTTTGAATTTATTTGTTTCCTATATAATTATAAAAAAAAGTCTCTATTTTATTTATTTAATAACTTTTCTTTCACCTATTTTCCTTATTTGTTTTTACTTATTTTTTCTTCCATCCATAAAATGTACAGGCCAAAATCTAGTATAAGTATGTAGACAGAAAACAAATAATTTTGTGAGTTCATAAATCATTGGCAAATTAGTATCATCCATCAAATGTTGTATGTCTAACGGTCAATTAACTACCGTTAATCAAAATGTTATTTATCATTTTATACCATGTGGTGTTAATGTGTTATGTGACGTGTAATAGTAGAGTGACATGACATGTGAAATATCATAATAGATAGTAACGAATATAATAACATAGTTATGCGATATTTTTATCCTCTTCATCAACATCACGTTAATGTCACATGGATATCAAATGATAAATGATATTTTGACTAATAATAATTATTCAACCGTTAGTTATAAAAACCTATTTGACTCAAAATAAAAATATAAGAGTTTGTGATAATTCTATTATATAGAGTTATCATATGTATATTTGGGGCTTGAAGTTTGCTAAGTCTTCTAGTTTTTTTTTCATCTTTAGGTAGTTTCTGGTTTTCTTTTTAGAAATAGTTTAACTTATGTGATATAAAGTTCCATTTATGCAAGTATAGCTTAATTTCTTGTCAAAATCTCCTAATTCAGCCTTTGATTATTTAATCCCTTAATGTTGAAGGACATGCAAAGACTTGGAGTATGAATGCAAAAGAGGGTGCAAGTGGGTTTCAAAGCAATTGAATATGTTAAAGTGTTTAGCGCATAAATTGAGCTATAGAAGTCTGATCAAGGTGGATCTTGAACCAATGGAAAGTGAAGAGGACGAGCTACAACTTTGATGTTCAACACTTGGCCCAAATAAGAAGGAATCATGACCAAAAATGAAGTTGAAAGTGAAGACCATAGTAGCTCTACACTAGGCAGCTTGAAGGAGAAAAACATGGAAATAGAACCTCCAATGCTGCAGCACCAAGTTTGTAGTGCTACAACGCTGTCTAGTGAAGCAAAGATGTCCAAGTTAGAGAGATTCTCATTGCAGCAAGAATGCAAGCTCACTATAAAGAGATATAGGGCAAATCAAGTCAGAAAGACTTTCGTTGCAGCGAATTTCTATTCTCGCTACAGTGAAAATGAGGGTGTTTACAATGCCAAGTCAGGAATAAATACACTGCAGTGAAATTCCATTCTCGCTACAATAAGAACACGTTAGATAATGAATATTCCTGCATGAGTTTTTAGGTCAAGCTGAAAAAAGAGGGGCTATAAATATAAAGTTTTGCACTAAGAAAGAAGAGGAATTGGAGAAACCATTTTAGGCAAAAGGAGGTAAGAACAAAAAGGGAAAAAGAAGAGGAATCAAGAGCTAGAGGATCAAAAAGCTGCAATAGAACATTTTCTCACTCTAGATTTGATTCTCTCTCTCTCTCTAACTTTTTTTTAAGAACAATGTTTTCGTTTACTAAGATGTGTACTTTCCTTTTGAACATGTGAGCTAGAGTTTTAATCTAGGATTATGGTGGATGCTATTGTGTAGTTGAAATACTTTGGATTCATTCTTTACTTGCTTTTATAAGAATATCAATGTTTATTCAACTTTATACTTATTGTCTCATTTGTTGCTTGATCACCAGCAAGTTGAGTATGGGGTTTTACATGATGCTTGATAAGGATAATCTAAAAGGATTTAAATTTGAATAATGTATGTTCATTCCATATTAAGAAATTAAGTGGGTGA